AGCTCCGAAGAGCCTGGCTTTGGGTCCTGGCTCCTTGGTGTCCCAGCTCGGGGACCTCCACTTAGGAAAGCCACGCCAAGCTTCCATGCTGGTAAGGAGCAAGGAGCTGACACCAAGCAGTGAACAGGTGGCCGGTGTGCAGAGGATTCTACCATTGCCTCTCTCCCCGCTAACACAGCAGACACTGCCCTCCCTGGCTCTGGAATAACCCTCAACCTTCTGTCTTGACCCCACCTCCCCTCCAGTCCTGCACCAGCCACCTCCAGGGCTGTGACCCTGGGGCGATCAGCAGTCACCCTCAGTCCCACCATGCACTGTCCAGCCCTGCCTTAGCCTTACGAGAAGAGTCGGGAAGCTCCTGGGCTCCCCTCTTTGCCCCCGGTCCTCCCTCTGTGGCACTGTCTCTTCTCCTTCTGCCTATCTCAGTCCCGTCTGTCTTCCAGGTCTTTGTCAAACACCCCTGTTCCCCCTGCCCTCTAGCAGTTTCTCTGTGGTGATTGCACCCTTTCCTTGCTCTCTGTCCTCAGAGGCTAGAGCTGGGTGGCCCTTGCTTATCACCGGCCCTTCACTGTCAGCCACAAAGACCTCTACTCCTCACTAGCATTTGTAGGTTTTAAACAATGTCGCACATTTAAATTTATTTTCGACTGCATGGCCTCATCAGAGTCTCCCTGTCCAGCACCTTGTTACTACATCTAGAAGGGGCAGGAGGGCTATGACTGCTGGAAGCCCCTGCGCTCACTGAGTTCAGGACGGCAGGGCTCCTTCTCTGTGGACATCAGGGCCTAAGTTTGCTTGAAGGACCAGGAAGCTGTCGAGGGACAGACGAGGCAAACGGGCACGGTGACGGCGGGCTACGCTGGGGGAGGGGCTCTGTAGCAGTCCCTTCCGTGCTGGGAGCCCCAGGGTCAGGTAGATGGGCAGAGCAGTGGCCATACACTGTGGCCCCACAGGCCTGAGGCAAGGGCGGCCAGGCTGGGGTGACCCTCAGGACCTCTCTAGTCTCTCACCCTGCAGGTGGTGAGCAGGGTTCTCCCAGGTTCCTCTCCAGGACCCGTGAGTGGGCTCCAGAAACAATCAGCAAACCCTAGTCGTTGTGCTGATTTTGGGGGGTTTGGCTGGGATCTGGGCAGGGTGCTGATTGGGGTCAGTCTCTGTCCAGAAGGACAGGCCTGTGGACGAGACTTGTGACCCACAGCACCCACGAAGTGGCTCTCCCACTGGGGAAACCACCTCTGCAGCAGGCTGGTGTGTCTTGAATCTGGTGCAGGGATCTGGGAAGACCCATACGTGTGGTGCTACGGTTTGAAGGTGTCCCCAGGTTGCATGGGTTGGAAACAATCCCATGATGCAGGTGTGGGCGGCTTCTGCAGGACAGGGATCTGGGAGGTGCCTAGGATTTGGTGAGCTCACAAGGGTCAGTATCCCCGGACGGCCTGGGCGGGTTTATCAAGTGACACACGCTTGTGCTGTCTGGCCTTGGGACAGCCATGCTGTGACCCAGGCGCCAGCATGGTGTTCTGGACTTCTCAGCCTCCAGAGCCGAGAGCCAAATAAACTCCTCTTCTCTATAAATGGCCCAGTCTTGGGTATCTTGTTACAGCAACACTTCAGCTGCTGAGTTCCAACCACTCAGCAAGGTCATGGTGAGGAGACTCCTTCTAATAGGGTCTGTGCAGAGAGCAGAAAATGAGGCCACAGTCTCTACCCTTTCTCTGTAATTCCCTTTTTCCCAATCCTGTTTTATCTGCAACTAGCATAGCTCAAAACAGCTAATCTGTAAGTGCCTTTGGGCTGGAAAGAGCTAAAAGCTGGGTGGCCCGGCAGGCAGGAGCGGTGGAGGTGTGAGGCTTTGTAACAAGCGACATGCACAGCCCCGCACGGCACACTCCCAGCTCTGCGGGGCTGAGCATCCGGCAGAGCGGGCTGGGCTCCTGAGCAGCCATCCATCCAGCAGGGATAGGAGTTAGAGACCTGGGAACGCTCATGGGACGGAGGGGGAAGGCTGGCCAGGATTTGGTGAGGGACATGAGGACCCGGTATCTGCTCAGGGCCACACGGTTAGCAGAGCACTGAGCGTGTGGGTCACCCGGAGCTTGTCTACACGGCAGAGTGGGCCCTTGCCTGAGTCCAGGCAGGGAAGGAGCAGGGTGAAGCTTCCCTCACCAGCTGGCAGGCTGGGGTCCGTCTCACTATTACTGAGTGCCTCAGTTTCCCCATGGAGGCCTATATAAAAGGCCCTGACACAAAGCAAGGTCGGAAGTGTGGCTCCTGTGTGGTACCTCTTCCACCTGCTCTCACCCAGGGCCTCTGGCCACCTGCTTGATGGCCACGAACGATACCCCTGCGCCAGGGGCCTGCAAGGCCAGGCAGGACCGGAGTCCCTGAGTATTCCCCGTGGCTAGTGGCACCTTCCCCTCTCCCGACCGCCCCTCCTGGGGCTGGACGCATCCAGGGATGCTGGCTTCTGTGAATGTCACTGATTCCCCCACAGGGTCACCTCCCGAAGGCGCACATCCTTGAGGTATCAGCTTCCTTCCACTGAATCGGCCAAGTGAACTGAGCTCACATACGTGGAAAACATGGGGTCGCCCCAGCCCCGCACTGCCTGTGTGCGGCCCTGGAGGAACCTCTGCCACTCTGCCTGCTGAGTAGTCAGGACCCTGGCATCTTTAGGGTCTTCCACCCTCTAGGGAGAGACCTCTGGCTGCTGAGGGAGGGCATGGGAGAGCGGTGGGGTCCCTGGCCCTGGAACCTCCAAAGTCAGGCCTTCCTGAATGCTGCCCACTGCTCCCTGCTGCTCTGTCTCCCTTTTCAGGGACCCTAGAAAAAGGCTTCGAAGTCTGGCACTTTTGGTGACACGATGATCACAGAATTTAGCCAAGGTCCAAACATGTGCTGCTCTAGCCAGTGTCCGCGGACATCGACACGTGTCCCCAGCGTCCCAGCAGCACAGCAGGCTTTCCTTCGAGACACAGACTGTGCCCGGTTGCCATGCCCAGTCACCAACAAACGCGAGGCGGCCCTCCCTCCACGCCCCAGCCCCAACTGCCAAATCAAGGCTCAGTGCCACACGTCTTCTCCCAAATCATTTGATTTTAAAAGGGAAGGAAAGAAAGGAAGAAGGCAGCCCAGGGAATGAAGCCTGCCTCGGCTGCCAGCCACAGAGCCCTCTGCCCTCGGGGGGCCCGGCACACCTGGCCTCGGTCCCACCTCACCCCATCTCCCATGGGCACCGGGTCTCGTGGAGGCTTCCCCCCCAATCCAGGCTCTGCCTCCAGACTCACAGGGGCTCTAACGCTAGACACACACACACGGAAAGGAGTTCGGACTCTTCCAGGCCACCCCTCCACCCGCCGCCCGGCTCAGTCCCGAGTCCTGAGCACTCAGTGCCTCAGTCTGGATCGGCGCACACGAAGGCATTTATTGGCTGGTGTAGCAAAGAGAGGAAAAGGACGGACCTCGGTTTTAAGTGGGAAACCTTCGGGGTGCTTTCCAGGCAGGGACGCGCTGCAGCCCGAACACTCTCAGTGCCACTGAGGCCGGTGTAGACTTGAACAGCACCCCCAGAGACGCTGGACAGGACCTGGGAAGCAACTGCACCCTAAGAGCCCCACACTGTGAAAGCCCAGGGCTAGGAACCCAGAAGCTGCATGTGAGCCTGGGCTCTGCAGTGGACAGACGTGTCTGCCAAGAGAGAAGCAGGTGGACAGATGCGACTCCACACGCAGGTCCCGAACCCTGCAGCACAGGACCTGAATGCGGCTTCGTGCGCAGAGTGGGAGCTTGCTCTTGGCATGAGGGGGGGAGCTGGCATTTTGAGGGGGAGGAGAAGTTGCAGGGAAAGAAGAAATCCTGAAGCGACAGACAGGGGGACAGCTGTGGCCTGAACTTGGTGTTCTTGCTCCTGGGATGTGGATGTATTAATTTCCATAAATGCTAATAGCCCATTTCCCCAAGAGCTATTACTTATGTCATCTCTCCTTGGATACAGTTCAACCAAGGCAGGCAAAGGAAAGGGAGGAAAAGGTAACCCCCACTGCCGGGTCCCTGCTTTGGCTCCACTCCCAATCAGGCACCTCGGGTCCGGTTTTGAAGGTGACCCTGCTAGCATCAGGGTCCAAACCACCTGCCTTCAGACAGGTCCCTGTCATGCCCAGAAGCAAAGAAAGTTACCAATCCCAAAAATGCTGAATCACAAAGTGAGGCTGAGCAGAAAGTGGGGGTGGGGTGGGGAGGGAGATGGTGGCCAGGGAAGGAGGCAGGGAACGGTGCTGAGGGGTTTTGCACTTGGCGCACCCCAGGGTGCTCCAGGCTCCCCTGCAGGAGCCTCCTAGGGACAAATGCCAGGAGAAGCAGGCTGGATGTGCCTGATGGGAGGGCGGGCAGGTGGGCAGGTGCTCCCGGCCGCTGGTACTGCCGCAGGGAGCAGTGCAGCAGCTCAGGATCTGCATCCCGCAGGAGCAGCAGCAGGTAGGGAGGTGCAGAGGTGCTTCGTGCCAGGGCCCGAGCCAGAGGCAGAAAGGGTAACAGGAGGGGGCCAGGGACCGGAGGGTCATGGGGGCAGGCGGCAAGCCGGAAGGATGTGCCGGAGGAGCAGGCGGGAGAGAGATGCGGAAGACCGGTGCAGGGAGCTGGGAGAGCTCCGCCGGGGCTTCGCAGAGGCCAGCAATGGAGACGGGAAGGGTTGGGGAAGGGGAGGCGATGCTAGAGACGCCAGGGGCGATGGGGGATGCAGGCGAGGGGTGATGTTTGGGGCAGGGGTCGGGGATTCGAGCTGAGAGGTCAGGCGGGACACAGGAAAGCGGCAGAGGATGCGATGGGGGAAGGGAGACGGTGGAGAAGGAGGTGAGGGGGCTGGAGAGGAGGTGCGAACGGCGACGGAGGCAGGGACGCAGGTCGGGGAAGACAGGCGGAGAGGGACCACGGCGCACGCCGCCACTCTCCGGGAGCAGGTCCTTGGGCATCGCCGCCCACTGGGGTCTCCCCCGTGCACTCACCTGGGGGCTCCAGCTCCGGATCCTGCGACCCGCTCCGGATCTTCCTTCCCGCCCGGCCCCTGCGACTTTAGCGCCCCCCAAATCCCGCTCTCTCCGGCAGGTTCCGCCCGCAGCATCTTCACCTCGTGGGACGCCTGCGGCCACGCCCCCTGGAGCTTCTCATTGGCTATAATTCACGCCAGTCACACTTCCATTGGCCGAGCTTTCGGCGTCCATGCAAATCAGGATGGGCCCGCCGCCGCGCCGATTGGCTGATGCTCGCGGAGCGGAGCCCTTGGACTCAGGCTCTGATTGGTTCCGGGGCCCAGACGACAGAAAGGACGCGGGGCGGGTTCCCGGCCTGAGAGCCCGCGCCGCCTGCGGAGGCTTACGTCGCGGTTGGTAGAGGGCTGGGCGCACCCCTCGATCGGGAGGGCTCTAAGGCCTGTGGCTCCGTCGGGAACCAACCTCTGAACCCTTGAGTCCTGGTGCTGCAGGGACTTCTTGGAAAGCTTGGGCCTCGGTGCTCTGGGCACCGGGCTGCACGCCCGTCTCCTAGGTAACGTGGACGGCGGCGGGCGGAACCAAGTGGGCTGGTGCCGCGGGGGAGAGCGACGCGGCCTGGAGGCTCTGCGGGCGCTGGAGTCGGTCAGGCCTGGCTGTCTTGGAGTGGGGGTTTGGCCAGGCCCTGCGTGCGCACCCGGGCCTGAGGGGAGCGGCGGTGGCGGGGCGAGGGGTGAGGGGTGGGGCCGGGCCCAGGTCGCAACCCCCCGCCCTGACGATTGGTACGGCCCCGTGTCGTTGGGCGTCGTGGGCGCTTCGTGCCCAGGCGCCCCCACCCCCAGCTCCTTGCCTGCTGACCCCTGACCCGCTGGAGTCCTCCATCCGCGGCGGGCGCGGGGCCAAGGAGGCTCGTGGGGCAGATGTGCGGCTCTCGTTCGTGCGCATCCTTTCGCGGTCCCCCCAGGGCCCCCGCGGCCCTCCACGCACCCCGAGGTCCTGCCCTTACCCGACCCGCCCAGACTGGCCGCCTCTCCCGCGGATGGCCCTGCGCTGGGTTGGCGCGCGCGAGGCCCACGTGGAAGTCCGCGAAGGCAGTGAGTCCCACGCGCGTGCTGTGGGAGGAGGAGGGGTGTTGGGGACAGCGGTGAGGAGGGTCCCCGGCGCAGCTCACCTGTGCAGCTTTCAAGGGCCCCGGCTCAGTCTCTGGAGCTCAAGTGTTGTGCTGTCCTGGCCCCGCCGCGCCGCCCCTCCTGCGGAGGCCGCGAGCCTGTCCGCTGTGTGGCGCGGGGTGAGCGAAGGAAAGCCCTACAGCCCGTGCTCAGACCTCCCCAGCTCCCCAGAAGTCCCGGTCTTCCCGGCATGCCGGCTTCCCTGGGCAGCAGATTTCACAGCCCTCGTTTTGTAGATTGGAAACCCATAGGGAGGAGAATGACTGTGTGAAGTTGGGGAGCTCAGAGGACCAGCCTGAGCCCTGGGCTCCTCCCCCGTCCTGCCACCCTCACTTCGAGGCGGCTCATCTCCCTTGGCTCCCCTTGGTCTGTTGGCTGGGATCAGAACAGGGGTGGCATGGCTCAGTAGCTTTAGGTGGTCACCACTGGATGGCCTTGGTACCTGGGTCTCACACAGTCTCCTCTGTAGGAGGGAACAGTGATGTTTATCTCTCAGCTGTTGGAGTGGTAACTATGGAAAAGTCTCTGAGTCCCTGGCTCATGGTAGGAGCTTAGTACAAGCTGATGTCTGTTCTTTATTTCCCTGGAGCGTCCATTCTTGGGTTCCTTAAAGCATGGGTCCCTTTCTGAAGCCCAGCACCCCATGGCCGTCCTACCTTTCTACAGGGCATTCCTATTTAATCACTGGGAGGTTTCTCGGAGTTCACAGTCTTCCAGGACAGCGTTAAATGCGTGGCCCTGTGCGTGTGTGACTTCTCTGTGGGTCTGTGTGAGGAGCAGGTGGAGGTGGTGGGCTGCGTGGGGTGGGCTAAGAGCCCCTGGCTGCCTGGGCGGCCACCGCTGGGTGTCCCAGGTGTCACCCCTCCCTCAGACGGTAGCTGTCCCTCTGCTCCGGGGTTACCTGTGGGCGCCAGGCTGTCCAGCATGTGCCCCTTCCTCCCCAGCCTGGTCCGCTGGGGCTGGAGGAGCAGGACAAAGCTTGCTCTTCAGCAGCAGCTGCTGGCCAGAGGTGGGAGCTGAGTAGGCCACTGGGTGCCTGCATGGGGTAGCCTTCCTTCCAGGGACAGGAAGTGGTGGGTGTGCGTCTGTCTCCATTTCATCATGAAGGGTACCTGGGAGACAGCACTGCTTCGGAAAAGTAACCCAGCAAAGCACAAGGGCGGACCGAGGCTTTGTGTGAGGCTGTGGCCGTTTACAGAGTTCTGGTGAGCGGGCACCGAGGATGCGGGAGGGTCAGCATTCCTGCTGCCAAGACCCGGCCATCGAGTGGTCAGTGCTGTGACCAGCAGCTGTGCTGGGGCCTTGGGAGCCGGAGTGCTGGGCCCCAGGGGCGTCTAGGAGGCCCTCCTGGAGAAGGCGCCCTCCAGCCGCATGTTGGTCAGGCCGCTTTTGCTTTTGTGTGTAGGTTGTGGACAGTTGTCTGAGTTTCCTGGGGCTGCTGTCAACAGAATCCTGCGAACTTGTGGCTTGAATTAACACAGATTTATTCTTTTCCAGTTAATGAGATCGGAAGTTCAAGTTCAGTCTCTCTTAACTGCAGGCTTGCGCAGGGCAGATCCCTTCTGGAGGCTCTGTGGGGGCGGCTGTTCCCTTCCTTCTCCACTCTCCAGAGCCCCCCTGCATCTCTTGGCTCCAGGCTGCTTCTCTTGTCACCAGGCTCCTTTCTGACCCCTCCTGCCTGTGTCTCCTAAGGTCCCTTGTGGCCTGCCACGATTCTATCTCAAGGACCTGTGGTAATCACGTGCGCAGAGTGCCTTGTGCCCTGAGGTAGCACAGGGACAGGAGGACATCTGTGGAGGCCACTGTTGAGCTGCTGGAGGAGGGGAGGAGTTTTCGGCAGCCTTTGGTGGCGGATGCCCTGCTGCAGTGGGCACAGGGGACTTCCTGCCCTCAGCCATCCCCATCGTGGGGCCTGGGTTCTGATGGCTGCACCTGTCCTCCACCTCACAGTCCTGGGAGTCTCCTGGGCTTCCTCTCCCCAGCCTCTGTGGTGCCCAGGGAGCCCTGGGGTTCAGGCTGGCCAGGGCTAGGCAGCTCTGAACGTCGCAGGAGGGGCTGCTGAGCTGAGTCCCCAGGAGGGCTTTGCCTTTGGTAGCTCCACGGGGGCCACCTGTCCTGAGAACCTGCGCAGGGAACATGGCAAGGCTCCTCCCCCAGGATGAGGGGCGTTGAGACGCAGAAGCCCACAGTGAACGAGAAAACGCAGCCTTGCCGTGTGCCAGCCATGGGTATACACCCACGTTCCCATGGCAGTGGGCTGGCTCTGGTCCTCTGAGGTGCACCTGGCCTGCAGGGTACCTTTCTGGGGAGGCAGGATCCTGGGCCAAGGCCCCTGGAGGTCTGCGGAGCACCTCAGGCTGGCTGGCATGTCCTCCACTCTCCATGTACTGCACTCCCCTGTCTTCTCAGACTTGAGGTCTCAGACTCCTGTATTTTTAAAAAAGTCACGAGGACCCCAAGAAGTTGTACTTCTGTGAGTTGTAGCTGTCAGTATTTACGGTATTAGAAATCAAAGGTGAGAAATGTTAAAAACACAAATTTGTTTAAAAAGAACAACAAACCTATTAATAACAACATTAAAAAAAAAAAAAAGCCTTTCTAGAAAGCGAAAAGCTACGTTTTCCAGAACAAAAAATTGGCATGAAGAGGGGTGGTTTTGCATTTCGCTGATATTTTTTAAGAGAGCTGGGTCCCTGTGTGCGTCTGTGCTGTTTCAGTGGAAGCTTGGAAGGCCACCCATTGTCACCCACATCGGGGAGGTTCCTCAGGCAGGGTGGGGTGGTCCCTGGCACCGCACCTGTTCCTCATGCAGTGGTTCCTGAGAGACTCGTCCTGCGCCATGTCCCATGCTGTGCAGCTTGGTGTCTCAGGCCGCGGTCTTCGCCGTCACACACCGTCTCCTGCAGCATCCTGCTTTGAGGAGTTAGCCGGCCCTGCCAGCCCTGAGACGCTCCACTACAGCCTCTGAAGATCGAGTTTGTTCTGTCACCGCCTGTCTCATCAGAAAAGTCCTGAAGCAGGAAGCTGTCAGGCTCCTGGTAGAGGCTACAAATGCCCCCAGTTCCTGTCTTTGCTGCCTCGTTTTCTTGACGTGACAGGCTGTCTTCACTCACGGTGAAGAAGGTGTCTGCTGAGGACCTGGGCCTGAGGAACTGTGGCTGCTTCTCTGTCATTCTGAGTATAATGGTGTTGACAGACGAACAGGAAGTGTGTGTTCACCAGCAGCCCCAGCACATAGCCTCCTTGGTGCCTGGGGTCCCTGGGGTTGTCATGGCCGTGCTTTCTGTGTTTCCCATGCTGTCACGAAGAGTCTGAATGTGCACAGCCAGTGGTCCAGGTGTCACGAGTTAGTAGCCTTCCTGGTCTCTTTGACTGTGAGTGGTAGTAAACTTGATGAGGATGCCAGCCCCAGCCCCTCTGTAGGGAGCCAGTGCTGGCCTTAGGGGGCCCTGGGAACACTTCGGGTGGGAGTGGCTGTCATGGGCGCTCTGCCTGCACTTCCTCCTATGAGGTGAAGGTCCTGGTCCAGGTCGAAGGTGCGATCAGTGTCAGCCCAGTGGAAGTCCAGGGGATGTGGGGATCCTCTCTGTCTGGAAGGGGACAGATAGCACCCTAGGCCAGGTCCCTATGAAGCTGAGTGGTCCTGGGTGGCTGGCTTTAGGGTGACCTCCAGACCCACTGGCCCTGGCCCTTGCTTTTTTCTCTTTTTGATGGGCACCTCCAGTAGCTGCTTACGAGGTGGCCCCTGGCAACTTCAGGCTGATAGTTTCTCTTCTAGGGCTGTATTTCCTTTTGCGTTTCCTTGGTGTCGCTTGGGCCATGCTATCTGGACACCAAGATAGCCTTGCACGAGGGCTGGACTTAAAGTCCTCACCTTGTGTCCTCATGTGGTGCCTGTTACAATTTGTGTCTAGATGAGCCCGCAAAGCTTCGTGGTCATAGGTGGGACTTTCTGGAGGTGGCTGGATTTAGAGTGTGTGCTGCTGGGGTCAAGGATGTGATTCTGGGAATGATTCAGTGTGATACTGGGATTAAGGCCGGGTAGCCTAGATAAAATAGAAGGCGCAAAAAGGAGGTCACTTGTAGCTTGCTGCCTTCTGCCTGCCCTGCTTGGCTATGAACTGTTTCTCTTCTGTGATGCCCCTCTGCAATGCTACCCTACCTAAGAGCCAGCCAGCTATGAACTGAAACCTCTACAAACTGTGAGCCACATAAACCTCTCCTACTTTAACTCTGGGTGTTGGCTATTCTGTTTCAGCAACAAGAAAAGTAACTAAGACAGCGCCCATCCCTAAGCTAGTGATGGAGCCAGTGTAGTTGTGCTCTGATTGGCCCATGAAAGGAGTTGGGGGGACCTGTGGCGAGAGGTGGGCCCGTTTCCCGGGGGAGGCCACGTGGGTGTGGGTCAGCCGCGCAGGATCTGGTGCTGGGGTTGCAGAGCGGGTTTAGGGGTGGAGCTTGGGAACTTAGCGCTGTGGCCTGATGTCTTTTTTCTTTCTTTGGCGCAGGTGACGCTGAGGCCTGGGAGAGGATCAGACAAGCAGAATGAGCGACTGGAACAAGATCTTTGCCCAAAACATACTTGTCCCTCCACACCCGCAGAGAGCCCGGCAGCTTTTGAAGGAATCCACAGCGTTTCAGTGCGTCCTGAAGTGGCTTGATGGGCCGCTAATTAAGCAGGTAATGAAATTTGCTATTCATTGTCAGCTGCTCTCGGCTGAGATGAGGTTTCCTGTTACCATTGATTTTCACTTATCTACCGAGTTGCATCACTGTGTCCATTGCCTGGGCCTTGGCAGTGTCCAGAGGCAAAGTGGCCCATCAGCAGGAGGACGAGGACTCAGCAGCTGGATCAGCACTTTTGACATTGGGTGAGGGATTCTTCTGCCCCCAGTGGAGCGCTCTACAAAACCAGGGAGCCTGATTTCCAGAGTTCTCTCTGAGCCGGATGGCTTGCGGAGGTGGCCCTGTGCACCGCTGGGTATGGCCCGTTTTCAGCCTGGCAGGTAGCGATATGGGTGCAACGCTCTGGATATCTGGGTAGCTCCATCTGTGGCTTGGGGTACCACAGCCTCGTGCACACACAGGCCTGTGCCCTGCTGGCCCTGCATCTGTCTGTGCCCTTGAGCTGCTGGATGAGGGTGTGCTTCTCCCTGCCTCCCGCAGGATGTGCACATGGTTGGAGGTTCCAGTGGCAGGTGGGACACGCCAATCAGTGTGAGCCGTTTCTTATGGGGCGTGGCTTGCTGACGGCCCTTTCCTGCAGCCTGTGGGGCTTGGGGGGCTGTTGTGTACGTGGGAAGTTGTAGGAGTGCCGGGCCTGTGAATAAGGGACGGTGACTGAGTCACTAACGGCCCCACTGTCGCATTCCAAACCCTCTGACCAGGCACTGCTGGCGTCGGCCATGGCGGTTGGCACCCGGAAGCTGCGCTTTCACAGCTTGATTCCCCTGCACTTTGTTGTGCTGCTTTATGCGCCCCTCACTGCAGCCTGGGGAAGAGGTGCCCGCATTGCCTGTCCACGGGAGAGGAGCGGCACCTACGAGCGCACAGTCAGCCGTCCAGGGCCACGGTGCTACTGTCCCTGGGCTCCCTTTCCCATTTTATTTTCTTTTGGAAAAGGTAATTCACATAGATCAAAATTCACAAAGACACACAGGGAAAGTGGATCATCCATTGTGTGCCCAAGGCTCCCGGTGTCCACTGTAGATACAGCCAGTGTCATCTATTTTTGTACAATGTCCCAGAAATCCTAAGCAAATACAGCAGATAAATACAGCTTTATGTATTTTTCCTTTTAAAAAAGTAAATGATGGTTTACTGTATTTTCTGTACCCTGTATTTATTTTGTTTTTTTGAGACAAGATCTCCCTATGTAGTTCAGGCTGGCCTTGAACTCACTGTGTAGCCCAGGCTGGCCTGGAAATCATGGCTGTCCTCCTGCCTCAGCCTCTCGACTGCTGGTATTACAGGCATGCACCACCATGCCTGGCTCTGTAGTCTGTTTTTTAAAAAGTTATTTTTAATAATGTTTTATATATTGTTGATGTTATTACATGAAGATTTTTTTTATTCTTTCTTTATGTGGATGAACCATCACTTAGCTAGGCCCTTTGAGTCAGTCAGTTTCCGGTCACTGTGACGAAATACCTTAGAGAAACAAATCTAAAGGAGAAAGGGTTTATTCTGGCTCCCTGTTTCAGAGGCTTCAGTCCATGGTCTGCTAGTTCTGTTGTGTTGGGGCCTGTGGCAGGGTGGAAACACCATGGCGGAAGGATGTGGTGGAGGAGGGCTGCTCCCCTCATGAGAGAGCAGGAGGAGGGCTGGAGAGCGAGAAAGGGGCGGGGCTAAGAGTAAACCTTTTCAGGCCCCGCCCCCAGTGAGGCTCCACCTCCTCGCAGCACATTCAGCTGGGGACACGTCTGAGGATTCCACCATCCAGGAGCTTAGCACCCCTGATCTGATCAGCCTCGCCACTGAACACAGGAGGCTTTGGGGAGACATTTTTGATCCAAATCACGGCATCCTTACTGATGAAGATGAGACTTTTCCAGTCATTTTCCATTATAAATACTCCTTCAGTGAATAACCTCTGTTACATCTTTTTAAAAATATATGTAGAATAATTTCTGTAAGTGGAATCTCTGACTCAAATATACACGCTACAACTTAGCGTTTAGGAGGACACTGTATATTATTTTCAAGTATGTGTAAACAGAAGGACAGAACGACTTGGAGGGGAGACACGGAAGAGAGCTGTCATGGCTTTCTTCACAGGAGCCCACCCTGCTTTCTCCAGAATATTCTTTTATGTTGCTTTTTCCTCTTTATCCGGCCCAGCCGTGCTCTGCAGAGCCAGTTTCTCTTTCACTCTTCACTTTTAGTTTTTCAAATAAACTTTGCCGCTGCTTTTTGCTTGTTTTGTTCAGTTCTTTGTTCAAAATAAGAAGCACCTGGAAAAAAAAGACATGGAAGAAAAACTGTGTAAGTATGAATCGTAAAGATCTTGTGACTATGCCAGTGTCTGACAAAGTAGATTTCAAGGTGAAGAGCAGGGCTAGAAGTAAAGGAGCGCTTCTTTCCTTTTGATTTATGCATTTTGGGGGGCTTTGGCCATGCTAGGCAAGCGCTCTGTCAGTGAGCTGTACGGGCCGCCCACGGGGAGCATTTTATCAGCTCACAATAATCAAGAAGGTGCCGTAGTCCCAGCGAGTTCATACCCGCATTGCACCCCAGGCTGCAAGAGTCTCTCAGAAGCCTCCCTGCTGAGACTTCACAGCAGTAGACACAGGAGCAGGCGCACACCCCACGGGCCCTTACCCCGAGATGGTATACGGTGCGGATGAAGCCCCAGCCGTGAGTTGGGATGTTCCCTGGCGTGTGCCCGCATGCCAGATTCCAGGAAGTGAAGCAGGCATTTGGCATAAACCAGTGTCTCTGCAGCCTGGGCACAGCAAACCGCTGTCACTGCTTAGCAGAAGGAACCCTCTGAGATCTCAGGTCCCATTCTTGGGGCAGAACTGGGTAGAGGTGAAGGGACTTGCGTGTTAGATTCACTGTCATGGCTGGAGACTTTCCTCTTCTCCTTTCTCCCACACTGATCGATAGGACATACAGATCAAAAAAAAAATTGAAAGATGTGAACAGCACTGTCCACCTCACTGACATCTCTTAAATATCCACCCCCCCCATGGACACAGGGTCCACACTCAAGTGTGCATGGACAACTCAATAAGAGAGGCCATGTACTAGGCTACAAAAATGCCTCAAAACATTTAAAAGGGTTGAGATTATAGAGGGAATGCTCACAGATACTGTGGTATTAAACTAGAAGTCAGCAGTAAGGCCAGCAAACAGACCTGGAAAATCCTGATAGTTGGAAATTGACCCACTGCCAAATAACCCTGCAGTCCAAGAAAACTTTATAGAGAAATTTGAAAATAATTTGAACTGAGTAATGGGAAAAAATATAAAAATTCATGAGCAATAGATAATGGCAACGCTTTGGTGGAAACATATAGCTTTCTAGCAATGTTAGAAAAGAAGAAGGGTACAAAATCAGTGATTCCTGGGGCTGGGGATTTAGCTCAGCGGCAAAAGCGCCTGCCTGGCAAGTGCAAGGTCGTGAGTTTGGTTCCCGGT